AAGGCATTGTCATTTACGAAACTGTTGTCAGTCAGCTTAAGAGAAAAAGCTTAAAACACTTTATCAGCAACATTTGAAACAAAGAGCCACAAAATCATTTCCCTAGTTTACTTAATCTTATGTAACCAATACTTGTTCTGCTGAAATCCAGTTCTTTACTAGTTTAGGAGTAATAAAACAGTGACTATAAATGACAAAAGACTTACAAATGACAATGGTTAAAGACCTGATGAGAGCTTACTATAAGACAGTTGACATAAGAAAATTTGGATATTTCTGTAACAAAACATTCAGTAGCAAACTTTAGCATCATTCCCTTTGACAGTACTTTCCAGGTAAATATATATCAGATAAATAAGCCAAATTAGCCAAATATTTTGTCCAATGAGAAAAAATTTCTCTGACATGTTCCAGGGGTTCTCTGGAAAATATCAGAGTTAACTAGCGGTAAAAGCTTCTTTTTGCATTTGATTTTTTTTTTTTGGCACTTGCTTAAATAGGAATATAGGTTGCCATGAAGCAATACTTATCCATTTAACCAGAATGACAACAAAATACCTCAAAGGCAAATAAAGAAGGTTACACAGTCATTAGTAAAGTTTAGCTTTTAGTCCTTTTAATATTAAGATCTCAGTTTCTTAAATACTCCGACAACTCATTGAGACTTTAAGCATGAGAAACTGCTTTGATAAAACAACTAGAGAACCCTTTGCAATCTTTCAACATTAAGAGCAGATCAGCAGTTAAGAAAACTCTCTTTTTAACTGAAAACAAAATTCTAATTTTGCTGTGTACTTGATATTGAGACGCATTTGCTTTAATTTTATATAGCATAACCATATCAATTCTTCCACAAACTTTCAACAACATCTTTTTGCATTCAGTTCTCTCTCTTTAAACAAACAGCTGTAATTTAGAACAGTTACTTTCTTTTATCAAAAGACACATTCTTTAGCGTGCAGAACGAATTTCCATTCCTTATATCTTCTCTTATTAAAACATACATCTTTTAGCATACAGAAATGTTTTCCTTATTACTTTAAGTAGTTTTAATTGGAACTTAAAACCACTAGGAACCTTAAAGAACACTGAGAAGTAGGCTATTGTAAACTGTTACACTAACATTTTTTAGATTGACAAATTTATGAACACATTTTATAATTTCTGTAACCATGAGCTTTACAGCACAATCTCTCACTAAGCACAAAGTATATCTACTTAACTTAGCAAAACTTTAAGGTTTTGGGTTACTACAAAGATTCTCATGCTGTAGGTAGGTATACACACTGTAACATACGATTATTATTAAGAAGTTCACTTGCTACATTTAATTTACTCATTCTTAACAACTATGCTAGATTACTTATAAAACCTTTACTGAATATTAGACAAAGTCAAGCCTCTAATCATTTTATTCTTGAAAGATTTAGCAGATAACATCAACTTAAATGACTTTAGGTAAACTTAGGCAGCTGATAACCATAAGGACATGTTCATTTCAGTTCAACTTAAATTAGCATTAATGCTTAATATTTTCTATTAGAATTTTCTGGAAGTTTTAGAATGCCCAATTTTCAAAAGTGCTTGTCTTTAAATCAATTTTATTAACACCATCCAGAGGTAGAAAAATCTTTCATTTACACGCTTAGACACACAAGCATACAGATTGAGACATAATGACTACAGTTAGCAACACTTCTCATAAAAGAATATATACACAGACAGATAAACTGATACAGAGATTTGAGTTACTGATATCCAATTGCCTTTCCTTTTAGTTTATTTGACTAAAAGTATCTTAGTTATCAAGAATACACTCTCATGGGTTAAGGTTTAGATCGCCCCAGACTAACAGGGCTGATGAAGGCTCTGAACTGATAGGGACTGTGTGTGCCCAGGGGGCTGGAAATGAAATGCAAGTACAATTCTAGCACCAGTCATTTAAAGCCAGGCTGTATTGCCGAAGATAAATTTCTTCCATTTCAGGGAGTCTAGTTTAGAAACCTCCTACTTTTTGAAGATAATGAACCCAATAAGTAGAATAGATTTCCACCAAAAAAATTTAGAAAACTAGTCCCATATTGTAGTAGTTTACAGGACTTTTGACTATTTTCTTTCCTTGCATTAAAATAAGTTTAGCTGCATTACCTTATTATATTGTATACTTCTCTCAGGGACCAGGCCTCTCCATTAGAGTTTCTATTGAGGCCAGGCTTGTGTGCAGAAGATCAGACATTTCTTTTTCAGGGTCTGGGGATCAAAATTGCTCCCACTTCTTTAGAATGCAAGCCAGAGGAGTGTATGGCTTTAGACTTGAAGAGGATGTTCCCATCTGAGAAAGAGAGAGAAAGACGGGTGTCCAGCACCTGATCAGCCTCTCTCTCCATGAGGGTGTTCCCTCGCCTTGGAGCCTAGGTGACAGTGGTTAGTCACCCCCTCTGCCGGCCTACTGGAATTAACCAGTCCTTACCAGCATGGCCTGTACCTTGCCTTGATTTCCCTCTTGCCTTCCCACACTAAGCAAGAGTTGCTTCAGAGCCCTGGATCTAGTGGGGACCTCACCAGTATGCTCTTACTTTATGCCTTCCAGGGGTCCTGATCCAGACCTTAGTTTCTCTGCACTGGCTTTAGCATAGTCCACTCGGGCTGCTGATAAGGAAATGCCTAGCCCCAGAAAGACTGCCTCCAAGGAAGAGGGATCAATAGAATAGAGCCATGGCTAGAATTTAAATGGGGCCATTTACATGTACAGTTATGGAGGGGAGGTGTCTATACTCAAACACCAGTTTAAGCCACTGCCTGGGATTTAGCCAGACACCCGCTATAACAAATCTAATCTGTGAAATAAGAGGTCGGGGGGGTTATCTGCAACTCTCCCATAGGCAGCAACCTAGCTGGAGGTTCACTCAGCGCCATGGGATCAATCGGCTGGAGCCCAGATTCAAGGACCACGGCCTACTAGTCCAGTCTGCCCTCGGAATCTGCAGATTAGGATAGGAAAGTAGCAAATTGGCTCAGCCACTCCCCGACATTCCCGTCTGTCTGGAGGCGGGGGATCAAGGAGCGGCAGACACCGGGAAACCTTTCATCCAAGACTTAAAACTGGTATCGTCTTTTAAATGGCTAATGGGTGCCCAGACACATTTTAATGAGATAAAAAGTACAGCATTTAGTTAGGAATAAGAGCAAAGCATGGATTTCCTACCTTGCAGTGGTGAGCATCAGGTTCCATGAAGTTGATGAAGGTTGAAGAGAGTTAGGAACACCCCCGACCTCACTGAGAGGCCAGGGCAGCCTGAAGAAGCAGGCTGGGAGTCAGATACAGAGAAAGAGAGACGCTCCTTATGGATACCCAGTTAGGCTGTTGGGGTCTGATTCCAGACACGCGGATCTTTGAGAAGCCGCTGAAGTGTAGCCTCAGTCTAGACTGTCGCTGTTGCCCACGGCTTTCCTCAGTCCCTTGCATCCAAGGAGATGCCTCTGTAAGGGAATCCTGGCCTCCACTCAGCTGACTTTCCCGGCTCCCAAGGGAGACGGGGATCCACTGAGGGAGACGCAGGGGAGCCTGTTGCTCGAGACTTTGAGATCAGCAGCCGGGCTAGTCCCATTTAAGTGGCTGACGAGTGCCGATGTTGTGTGCCATAGACGGCTTCCTTCTATAAGGACAGTGAAAGAAAAGGCAGGCTTGGATGCCGATACTCACCTCCGTAGCTATCCCGGGTGAGCCCCTAAAGATGATGCCGGAGTTCTTGTTTGCAGAGCTGAAGAATGAGCTTCACAAACACTCAAGGTAGGAGAGCAAGGTACAGGCTTTTATTTAGTTAAGTGAGAGGACAGAGCTCCCAGTTCACACCAGGAGGGGACAAGAGAGTCCGTGGTTGGCTCATTGTCTAGGGGTTTTATGCGCAGTTGAGGATTTTCAGGAATGAGGGTAAAGGGTTAGGGGTGCAGACTTGTTGAGTGGTCCCAGAATGCTCATTTTTGATGAGTAATAGAAGAAATTTTCTGCTCTGATTCTTTCTCAAGATAGCAATTTCCCTCTGGGAGTATGTCAACTAAGACCGCCTACCCTGTCCCCAAGGTGGGCTGGGTTGTTGCCTGTTTGCTGAAGTAAGTTAAGAATCTTACTTCTTAACTTCTTGGGCTGTTTATAGTTGGGCTTGCCTACTAAATTAGTCTTTTTCCTAGGTTGCAGATTACTTGTTTAGAATCAGAGAAGGAAATATAGCACATAGGTATGGTTAAAATAAGCTGGGCCTTTTAGTAGGCTAAGGTAAATTTTACAGTGTCATGATTTAAACTGGTACAGTGAAGTCACGGGTTATGCTGAGACACTTTTTTAAATCTGCAGAACACTCAAAACATTCCAGACCAAGTTGATGCTGGCCTTTTGAGTTTTAACTGATCTCACTGAAGATGTCTACATTCCTAGTCTGGTATCTTTACCCTAGAGAATTAGTGTGACTCTGACTTTGAGTAATGCTTATCACAGTTTCAATTGGGGCTTCTTTGCACATTGCTACATTGTTCTGACTGTAATTATCTTGCTCTGCTTTTTCTCCAGAGGCCCTCACTTTACTCTGCCTAATCCCACGGTCCCTGTCTCAGTAGCAGTAGGTTAGGGAGGATTTGATCCCTTGATTCAGAAGAGCGGAGACATGAAGTTTCTCTGCGGCCGGGGAGGGGCAGGCTTTCTCCGAGAGGTGCTGTGCTTGTGGGGAACAGCGCTTTGAGCTTACTCAGAGCGGGAAACAGCTGTAAGGCAGCGATGGAAGAAGGCAGCCGTTATCCGGATACTGAAAGAACTATATGAGGAACGTTGCTGAGAGTTAAAAGGGCAGCGTGTCTACCCGAATAAACCAAAGGAAGGTCGGCGACGCGGATCCGTCCCCAACTCCCAGAGGACAGCGAACGGCCGGAACCACCAGTCGCTGCCGGGCGCCTTTCGGTGACGCAGCTACGGTCCGATGACGCGCTGACAGGCCGCGGCCTCCGAGTCTCAGGTTCCGCACAGGCCTGTGGAAGCGACCGGAGAAGGAGGGCTAAGATGGCGGAAGCGGCGGAGTCTCCAGGAGATCGGGGGACACCGTCGCCCAGGCCCCTGGTGAGCTTGGGATTTGCAAGAAAAGGGACCGAGGGTGAGGCAGAGTGTCTCTTAAGGAAGTCTGGTGACAGGCTTGTGGCCTGAGAGAGCCGGAACCCCTTCCTCCGGGCAGGCCCTTCCTGTACCTGATGCCAGAACCAGTCCCAGCGCTGCACCTGTTCTTTGGCTAACAGCTTTCCCCTCTGCCGTCCTCGTTCCTTCCACGACTGCTTATGAAACTCCATTCACTTTCCTCTTCCGTACGGTCAGGACTTGCCCTCGGCCTCTACGATGTGTTAAATGCTGAGCTTTAGGTGATTTCTAAAGTAGTTTTGCTTCTCCTGTCCCTTCATTTTCTCAAGACCTATCACTAGCCCTTGGTGTAGCAGTAAGGATTAATGAGATTGCTTTACGTGGGATGTTGTAACTTGATTATTTATTTCTTTAGTGGCCCCAGCAGTCCTGGTTTAATCCCTGCCTCCCTGTTACAGCCCCTTGCAATCCTCTTCATGATGCTCTCTTGCTCCTGTCTCTACAAGGTTTAGGATTTCTATGGCAAGTATAAGCCCAAAGCCTGGACAGGTATTTAAGAGCAAGGTTTTGGAGTTAAACTTACCTAGGCTGGAATCACCCACTCTGATGTTTGTGTGAATTCGGGCAAGTCATTTCATGGAGAATGTTTCTTCATCTGTAAAATGGAGATTAAAATATCTGCTTCAGAAAGTTTTTAGGAAGATGAAATGACATAACTTCAAGTGCCTAATACAATCCGTGCCATGAACTGAGGAGTATAATTAACCCAACATTCTGTCCAGAAGTCCCTCCTGCCTGCCAAACAGTGTTTAGTTATATAGTACTTGCTCAATAAATGGGACATCCTTTTCCTGTTTTAAATTGACAAGATAGTAGAGCACTGAACTGGGAATTAGGTGAAATTAATTCTAGTCCTGGTTCTGCCTCCTAACTCTATTTGTTTCTCTCTTCACTCATTAAGCAAATATTTATTGAGCACCCACTGTGTTCCAGGCACTGGCAATATGGCAATGAAAGAGTATGAATAGATCCAAGTTCTCATGGAGCAGTTGTGACATTGAGGAAATCACTCTGAACCCCAGTTTCCTCATTTGGAAAACGTGGATAGTAACTCATCCCAGAAGAGCGAGAGTACTAAATGAGCTAATTATACATAGTGCCTGGTGTGACATAGTTACAGGTTCTTAGCTATTTTTAGTTCCTGTCTTTCATCTAAAATGCCCTACTTCTCTTTTATACTTTTCCCAATTAATTTTAATAGTTCTGGTTAGTCATTACTCAGTATCTAATCCACTTCTGTTCAACAGTGTTTGTGGATCTCTCAATGCATAAGGCACTATGCTTCAGGGAATACAAATGGCCTGCCTTGATGGTGCTTACAGTCTAATTTTTTAGGAATAAGACAAATGTACAATGCTGAAATAAGGCAGTATGTAACAGAAAGTTACACATAAAATATTAACCTTATTTGAAAGGAGATGCTATCATGTCTAGTTGGGGTGACAAAGCAAGCTACATGGCAGAAGTTGTATTTTAGAGAGACCCAAAGAATTGGTAGGATATGAACTTCCAGGTGAGCCCAAAAGCTATCGATGATTGAGTATCTGCTATGTGCCAGGATTATGCTAGACACTCTCTGCATATTTTCTAAACTCCATAGCAACCATTTTAGCTAGATTTTTTTAAACTACTGTACTTAGAGATAAGGAGATGGGACTCAGAGAGGTTTAATTATTTCCCTAGGGTTTCACAATGAGCTGGTGCCAAGCCTGAAATTTGAACCAAGTTTGCTTTTGAAGCCCAGACTATGTCCATTAATACTACATAGTCTTTTTCTAGTGAAGGTCCACAGGTTGGGAGGTGCTAACCCTGTGGTGATGGTACCATTATCTCAGTTACAGATAAGGAAACAGGCACAGAGAGGTTAAGGAACCTGCTCAATGTCACACAGTTAGTAAATGATGGAACTGGGATTTAAACCTGGGCTGTCTGGCTCCAGGAGGCTACACTATGAACCAGTACTCTTCTAATACCGAATGTTGAACATAGACTGTGTTAGGTGCTTGCAGGTGTTACCTAATTCTTGCAGTAGTGTTGTCTCCAAGTGAAGGCAGAGCCCCATTTGGCTTTGAAGCCCATTTCTTCTGTACTTCCCTGCCTCCGCCAGCAGTAGCAGGCAGCAAAAAAACTCAAAACAAGCAATCCTTGAGCTTGAAGGGGCAGTGTCATAGTAGTGAAGAAAGAAGACGGCTTCAAAAGGCAGTTTTACACATTGAAGCCTGAAGAATATTCAGAGTGAAACTGAGAAAGTGTCCTTGTGTTTTTTGCTTACAAGGTCATCATGAGAGTGCAGTGTCACTAAACTTGTGGGAAGGCAAATGCCATGTTACAAAAGACTGGGGGAGTGAAAAACAGGTTAATCAGGGAAGAGGAGGGAAAGGATAGTAGTTTGAGGGAGTGGCAGAAACAAGGAAGTGATATATTTTTAAATTTTATTATGGAAGCTTTCAAATATATATATATATAAAGATTAGCATAATGAAACCCCATATACCTATCAACATTTTTATTTTTATTCTTATTTCATCTATCTCCCCACCACATTATTTTCGGTAGTCGTATATATTTTTTTTAATTTTTAATTTTGTGTTCATCAATCTACAATTACATGAAGAACATTATGTTTACTAGGCTCTACCCTACCCCAAGTCCCCCCCACAAACCCTATTACAGTCACTGTCCATCAGCATAGTAAGATGTTGTAGAATCACTACTTGTCTTCTCTGTGTTGCACAGCCCTCCCCTTTCCCCCACCACCCATATTATACATGCTAATCATAATACCCCCTTTCTTCTTCCCTGCATTTATCCCTCCTTACCCACCCATTCTCCCCAGTCTCTTTCCC